TTAGCCATTCCCCAGCACAATGGCACCTCCTTATTTCCCAATTTTTGGCTACCGTGAAAAGAATTGCTATAATTATTTTTTTACACATGGATGTTTTTCCGCTTTCTTTGGTTTATAGATCTAATAGTGGAATAGAGAAGGCATACATTTTAATAACATATTGGACATGGTTCCAAATTGCTAGGAAGGGAGATTCTAAAAGGTAAGAGTAAAAGTAAGAGTATATTACTGGTATGGGGGAGATGCAGAGATGAGAGATGGACTGTCATGTGAAGGATGGGAAGAAAATCATGGAGTATGGGAAAGGGAGTAATACATAACAGGATTGGAAAGGTACATTGAGTCTAGGTTGTGAAAGGCTTGAAAAACTAAGAAGAAGGGTTTATATTTGATACTAGAGGCTATGGGGAACCATTGGAGTTTATTAAGTAAAGAGGTAACATGGTCACACCTGCACTTTAGGAAAATTACTTTGTCAGCTATGTGGAGGAATAATTGATGAGGGAGAAGAGATGAGACAGGAAGGTGAATTAGGAGGCACTTAACACTTACAAAGGTACTAAGTGGCAGATCTGGGTTTCAAACTAGTTATCCGCAGCCAAAAAACCCAAAACAAAACAATTAATGCTGCTTTAAGAGACACCCACAATTTCTACTCACAATCTTATCTCTCTTTGTCTCAGACTTCCCTTCCTTGGACCTCTCTACTTTGCCCTCCTCAGAAGGGATACTGCTTCCCCTCATACTCTTTCCATACTCTTGACACTCCAGAAACCTTGTTTTTTCCAGAATACTCATTCCTAGAAACCTTCCCTTTCCTAATGCTGACCATTCTGTCTCTCAAGTCAAGTCAAGTGACACACTGCAGCAGAAAAAGGAGCCGATATGCTCTTTTGCCCCACACTATTGTTTTCATTTACTGGCCTGTCCTTTCATGTATACTCCATCTCTGTCACTGTTCAGGTACTTGTTGTGGTCACTGATTCGTGTCCAGGTCACTCTCTGTCCTTTCTCCCAGAGCTCAATGTTTGTTTCAATCTTATCTATCACAACCTCTGAACTCATCCTTAGTGCCTTCCATATCTATCCTGACGTACCAGATGGATTATCTATGGCTGATGGCCCTCCCTGTACTGCCAGAATACTATTGCTAGGGAGGGGGCAGGCAAGGACAGGAGACCCCTCTTCAAGAAGAGTTTTAGGCTAGAATTATCTCTATTTGTAACTCCCCCACACCCACCCAATATTTATGGTCTAAGGGTACGATAAGTTCAAAAGAAAGTCGTTTCCCAGACCTCACTTTACTAGATTAGCCCCACCCTACCAAATATGAGTTATACAAAAGATCATCACAAAGAGCCAATAACGAATAAATACATTTATCCAAGCAAAACAGCACACATAGTTGGAGAAGTTCTACAGATTATAGTATAACAGGAAATACACAAGAATAAAGGAGTTCTTCAGCTGAAATTTTAAAAAAAGATCTCAGCTCAAATCAGGAGAGAGAACAATCTAACACAGGAAGGTCTTCTCTCAGCAGTCTCTAGGATTACAGGGCCAGGAATTGAGAGGAGCTGGTTTCTCCACATCTTCCACTCAGAAAACAGTAGCCTGGAATTCAGTTTTTCTCAGTTGCTTTCCTAGATCTCTGAAGAATCTCAATAATTGCATTAAGTTAACTCAATAATCTCAATAACTGAATTAAATTCGTTGTTGTTGTTTGGCCTTCTTTTGAAGAGGACCATGACATCAGGGAGGTGATGCTATGACACGCAAGTGAATTGGGAGGGCTGTGCAAAGTCACCAGCCTCACTTTCTCCTCCAGAGCCATCTGGGTCCAGTGGCAGAGATATAGATCAAGATGACTGAAGGTGGCCTTGCATGCAGTGGGGGACCTTGGCCTTTTTAAACTAAGGTCTTAAATCCAGTATGAAGGCATCAGGCTCAGCCCTCAAAAGTCACATCAGAAGCCTACAAAGCCAAAGGCAAAACTGCCCCTGGAAAGAGCCCTCTTAACAATCTTCAGTTTTTGGGTTTTTTTTTTCTTCAAGGTTCAGCTCCAGCCCAGACTTTTCCATGAAACTTCCCCTGATTTTTTCCCTTCCTCTCCTCACCAAGTTGGTAATAGTCTCTTCATCCTCAAATTGATTTGGTTTATTCCTCCGAAAGAATGCAAGTTTCTTGCAGTTGGGCATCTTGCTTTTGTTTTGTATCTACAACATCTAGCATAGTGCCTTGTACGTGGCATTTAATTAGTCTATTTAACTGAAGTATATGACAGAGAAAAGAGTTCTGCTACATTCTATCCTAATAAAGGCTGTATTTGCAATAGGAAAGCCACAGAGGTAATCTATGGCTTGTGCGTGTGCCCCCCCCCCAAGATTCTACATTCATTCACAATGGGTCTGATTCTGGGAGCTTAACCTTTAAATTCCTAATTTCCCTCCTTTAAGCTTGTTATAGCCACTGAATGGATAAATTATGAAACTATAAAATTATGAAATGGGAGTAGGCAAGCTCAGTTCTTTGGGTACTTGCCAAGAAAGACTATGACTGGCAACAGGAAATGGGGCAGCAAAGACACTTTATTAAGGCACAGAGACAAGCAGTGAAAAGAGGGGAGGGATACAGAGGGAATGGATGGTGAAGGGAGGGGATGAGGAAGAGGACAGACAGGGAATATCACAACATCATGGATTAGAATTGGGAGCGCTGGGCAGCATGGATGAGATGGAGATGGAAGAGGGTGGAGTTGGAGGTCTTATTTTTACAGGGTTTTGAGGGGAACAGACTAACTCTTATCTTGGGGTTAGTTCATTAACATATCCAGACTATCTCAAAGTTATCTGTGAAACTTCAAAGTCGACATGACCATGTCATCAAAGTTATCACCACCTTTTTGATGTTCTGCTGGTCTGGAGCTGTGCAGGTCTGGATTTTGTCTGGAATTTACCTCTCACAGGACCAGAACCCTTGATAGCAGTGTCTATATGGTTTCCCCTGATTCGGCATATATTGCCAGGTTTTGGCTAAATATATCTTAAATTTTGTTAAATTATGTTCCTTTGATCTTTGGAAGAATACACAAGGGAAAAGGCAAGTGAGTCCTCAAACAGACATATTTTGAGGCATAGCCTATCAGGGAATTTGTTTTGCTGGACTATACATATTTAGGATGAGTTTTATTTTTTATTTGTTTGTTGTTGTTCAATTAGGGAGAGTAGGGTACAGTGAGAGGGAGAAATTATAAATATAAAAATAAATGTTTTCAAAAGCCCTCCAGAGTCATAAATCACCTACTTTTCCCCTTAAGCCGACTTCAAATCTGCTTCCCCAATCCTTTAAATTTGTTTTACCTTCCAATTTTTTGAGGGCTCCCCAGTCCTTTGGCAGGCAGCAGGCTGTGCAGGCCTGCTCTATTGCTTAGATGCTAGATGATTATTCTGTCCCTAATCTCAAGCCCTGTTGGAAATAACCAAGTTGTCTTCTCTAATTCTCAGTTCCACTTTCTATTTCATAGCAGTCACTAGCTAAAGATACAGACATTCACACCAGTTCCACGAGCAGGAAATCATCAGCTACAACCCTTCTGGTGGGAGGGTACACCACTGGACCTTACTGTCTCTCTGCCATTGCTTCCTAACATCTACCAAGCCTTACCATCTGCCTGGCCAGTTCCTTCCAGACTATTAGGCACTGCCATCCGACCTGCAGCTGAATCTTTCCATTCGAGTTTTCTAATTAGAATGTAAGCTCTTTGAGAGCTGGGGCTGCCTTGCTGTTCTAGCTGTATTCTCAGCACTTAGTTGTGCTTGGCACAAAGTAAGTACTTAAACGCTTTTCCATTTCATTTCTCTGCAAATTATACTCCTTAATCCCCTTTAATCATCTGAACCTGCTCTTTATTTTTCAGTCTTGTCTAAAAGAATACAAATTTTTTTTCTTCATATTGAGCTTGAATCCTTTTCTCTTCTCTTGTTCCTTCTCTCACAATCTCCTATAGAAGTTATACTTCCCCATGTACAACACTGCTTTAGAAGAGAGTGGATTTTGATAGGCATAGAGGAGGGAGGAGTGCATTCCAATGTGACAGAAGACGTACTTATGGAGATGGAGAAAACAAGCCACAAGGCATGTTTACAGAACTATGAGTAAATTCCTAATATATCCAGGGTTTGGGACCATGAATAGGTCACTTGTACTAGTCAGGAAGAAATCTAGCCCCAATCCTTCTTATGTATTACTGAGAAAAATCATTCCAAACATTAACTATCAAGCCATCTGAAACAAGAGTGGAGCGTGTTAATCTTTATTGCCAGGGCTAGGTTGTCCAATATGCCCTTAATGGTTGGACATTCATTAAACACGGAGAAAAGAAAATGGCACAAGACCCAAAATCTGAAACAAATGGAAGCCATGAAGTAGAACAGAGGAGGAAAATCTTTATGGTATGCAAGATTGAGGGTGATAGTCCATATTTGGCCAGGTCTCTCAAGAGGGTAATTATCCCCTGTCCAATCAAGTGGTCACAAAGCTGGGCCTTATATAAGAGTGTGTTGTTGTTGTTGTCCAGTCGAGTCCGCTATTTTTTAGTTTCAAAATTAAATTTCAAATTTTAAACTAAATTTCATTTTAAATTAAATTGTAAATTAAAATATTTTTGATGTGTAAAGTAAGGGAACACAATTTTGACAGTTCCCATCAAAGGATCTACTTACTATAAGCTTCCTCTTCTCTTGGAAGTAGCTGGGGGTTCCCCCAAGTACCTGAGGTCACGAGACCTGCTTCGACAGGAGGTGTCATTGACGGGTCTAGGTCGGATCTAGGATGTCACTGTGGAGGGGAAGGTATTATAGGCGAAACTGGTTCTTCTCTCTGGTTCCAAGGGATGCTTGTCCAGGGAACTTACTGAAATTTCCTTTTTTAATAGGCGAAAGTGCGCGGGATTGGATTTAAGTTCCCCGGGTCATCTGTGTGACCCCAGGCAAGTGGCTTACCTTCTCCGGGACTCAGTTTCCCCATCTGTAAAATTCAATCGAACAAGCATTTAAGAAGCCCTCGCGGGCAAGGCTTGTGCTAGGGGATCCGGGTGCCAAGACCTCTTCGGGGGATTCTGCCCGCTAAAGACAGCCCTCGGGGGGGCACGCAAGGCGTGCGGGGCTTCCGGACCGCTCGAGACTTTTAAAAACGACTTATTGTATTTATTTGAAATTCAGTACCTAGAAAAGGCCCGGGAACCTACGGTACCAGCGAGGGGCGGGGATAGGGGTGGGAGAGATGGGGGGTGGGACGACGCGGCCCCGCCCTCAGGACCCGTCTCACCTGTCGAACGCCCCGCCCGGCCGAGCGGAACTCGCGCAGCCGGGAATCGCCTACAGATGCCTGCCCGAACCCATCATAGCGGGCAAAGGGCAAAGTCCTTCGCCACTGGACTTGGATCCCGGCAGAGGAACCAATCGGAGAGGGGCAGATGCGTAACAGCACCGCCCCCTCCCGGTACGACGCGAGACGAGGCGGCCGAGCAGCCATTTTGCATTCGGGCGGAAGTAGCCGACGGAGCCCGAGCACTGGGGAAAGGCTTAGAAGTAGTAGAAGGAAAAGCCTCCGGAGATAGTTTTCTGGGCGGAGGCCTGACCAGAGTAACCGTCTCCCCCGGCCCCAGTGAGGGACAGAGCAGGACGGCACTCGTCCGAGGGCTTCCGGGCCAGCGCCGCTGTAGCGCGGTTCCTGGCGCAGCCGCCTCGCTGGTGGAGTCGGAGGGACGGAGAACGGCGTTCTGTCCCGTTTCCGGGGGCGTCTCTATGGTGTCGGCTGGACCGAACCCTGGTCAGTGGGCACGGGGGCCGCAGCCTGGCGGGGCCGGGACAAGGTCAGGGGTCACAGGGGTCGTTGGTGGCGAAGCGGAGACCGTCCGGGGCCGACACCCTCGGCCTCTTGGCGCTGCCCCCCTCGCAGGTGAGGGGGCCTTCCCGCCTCCGCCTCTCGAAGTCTAGGTCGGGGGAGAGCGCCCGGGCCGGGCCGGGGGGCGGGACGTGGACCCGACGGGCCGCGAGGGGCGCGTGCCCGGAGGCTCGGGGCGCACGTGACGGGTCCGGGGGCGGCCCCGCGGGTCGGGTCTGGGGCCGGGCGGGACCCCCGGGCTGAGCGCGGGAGCCGGAGGGCCGGGCTGGAGTGGCCCGGAGCCGCTGCCAGCCGGGCTCGTGCCCCCGCCTCCGCGGACGCGGCCGAGCCGGAAAGTTTGTGCTCGGTCATGGCTGGTGCGGGGAAGTCCCGGCGGCTCCGCGCCTCCAACCTCCTCTGCCCTCGGAGGGAGCCGGGGTGGGTTTAAACCGCCCTAGCGCGGTGTGCGGTTGTCTCCCCCCCCCCCCCCGGTCTGGTCGGTTTGGGGGTGAGTTTAGTGAAAGGACAGAGCTACGCTCCATTTGGAAAACAGAGGGACCGAAGATACAACGTGCCCATGTCCGCCGAGCGAGTGATAGAAGCCAGTGCTGTTCTAGAAACTTGGGGTCAAACGGTTTGGGAAGCGTCACAGTGGGGAAAGTGTGGGCTGCCAGGTGTCGAAGTGGATGGAGCACGGGGCCTGAGGTTGGGAAGACCTGAGTTCAGATCCGGCCTCAGGCACATACTAGCTGTGTGAGCCAGGGAGAGTCACTTAACCTGTTTGCCTTGATCCAGTGGAGAAGGAAATGGCACACTACTGCAGCCAAGAAAGCCCCAAGGATATTAATGACGTCCTGTGGTCCACGGGGTCCTGCAGAGTGGGACGGGACTGAACAGCGACAGTAACCAGTTAACTGACATACTAAAGTCGATTCAGAAATACTGCTGCTTCTCGTAGAGCAGTAGTAGATTGAGCAAATAACGTGATTAATAGAATAGTGACATACATTAAAATTACTCTCATTTAGACTTTGTCTAGTATTTTATCTAATCCTGGAGTATCTCGGAATCCCATTAATTGTATACTCTTTGATTTAAGATTTTTCCTGAAGGAGTTACTGAGTACATGTATGCTAAAGGACTGAACCTGCCCCTGCTTCATCTGCAGATAATTTCATTGTCCACTTGGTGCTACAAAGATAATTAACCCTGACAGAATTTGGCTTTGGAGTCAGGTGTACTATTATTACACCACACAAAATAATTTGAACCCAAGTTTCTGGAAGATTTTTGAATTTTTGCTTCAAAATAAAATATTTCAGAACTTATGGCTAGCATTTATGTAGCACTTTTGGGTTTGCATAGTGCTTTACAGATATGTTATTTTGTCCTTACAACAATCCTGAGAAGTAGATGTTGTTATTATCCTCATTTTGTAGATGAGGAAACTGAGGCAAGTAGAGGTTAAGTGACTTGCCCAGGTAGAATTTGAATTCTGGTCTTCCTGACTCCAGGTCCAGTGCTCTATAGAATGCTAGAACTCTCGTCTGTATTTGTTCTGAAGCTAGATTTTCACTCATTTTCTTTGTTTCTTTTGTTTTTTGTTACTGGCTTTTTCTCAACAGTGTTACTAATTCTGCTTATCAGCTTTATAACAATTTATTGAGGCCAAGAATGTAAATGAAAAAATTGTACTTTTGAGGAAGCTAGTCTGCCTGCCTTCCTTTGAAGCTAATAAACTTTGTTTTGTTTGTTTTCCTTTCTGGAGCAGTGAGAGAACTCTACTGTGGAGCTTCCATAGAAGTCCAAGGGAAATGTGCTTATATCTACAATCATTAATCTTGCCCTTTACCCACTGATATTCTAAACCAAAATGGCACACTTTAAAAAAAAAGTGCTAGTTTTCATTAACATCATCCAGACATCTCTCTAGATGGGTGTTTGTAGTATAGGATCATTATTTTTAGTTTTTTGTAGATAACATACTTTTTTTTCAACTGTGGTAACAAATAGTATTCTTTGACAATAGTATTCACAACTAGATACAGAAAAAGTTCCCCTTAGCTGTGTAGCATTTCTTGAGCTAGGATGTTTTCATCAGGCTGCTGACGTAATTAATGCTGGTTGACTTGGCAAAATATGAATATGGTTCTTGCTATCAGGCTTGTAATAAGCTTTAGTAAATGTTTGTTGATTGATTATTATCTGGCCATATAACCTAGCAAATTCTCTTTGGATCAAAGTAAATGTTGGAGTGGATGTGTTCATCATTTGGACATTCCCTCAGTTGGTACAGATTAAAATGTCTGCTTCTTTAGGATTCTTGTCCATGTCTTTTATAAGTTGTACACATAGGATCTATTCTGGGGGGGAAAGAGGGGCTGGAGCACTTGGCAGCAGCTTCCTCATTTTCCCTTGACTTCCTGATGATACTGGTGGAGCACAGAAGTTGTCTTATCTTTTTCGAGCATAATTTTTTTAATGGCATCCTTTACTAAGCTTTTTGGTTGTTTTTAATATTTTGTAGCCTTCAGGCACCTCTCCTTTGACATTTTAGCAATATTCATTTTCAGTTCCGTATCGCACAAGAAGAAAACAGAATAGAAGAATATTAGTATTAAAAAGATGAATGTTAGGTACAAGAAAAGCTTGGGGTCTTTAAAAATCAAGTCAACAAGTTCTTATTCATTCATTCATAAATTTATTTATTTATGGCAAAAACAGTCCTGCTGTCAAGTAGCTTACAGTCTAGGGAAACAATATGCTAAGGGCCATGTACCAACAAATTACAGGAAAAATAAAAGATATTCCCAGAGTGAAGGCACTAGCAGTATGTGTGTGAGTGCAGTTCCCTGAAGGCAAAATAAATATCTCCTGAGAAATGTGGACTTCTTTAAAACATACATACATACATATCTATATATATATATGTGTGTGTGTGTGTGTGTGTGTAAATATATATATATATATATATACACACACACACACACATTTATTTATTTATTTATTTGTTTGTTTATTTTAAGAGAAATTCCAAAGGGTCTTGTACAAAAAACATATTGCTTTTCAAAGACATCATTTTGTTTTTGCTGTGCCTAACTAAAGCTTTGTTAGACTGCTAAAAATCATATACAAAGAATAACACATTAAATCAATAATTATAGTTGTTTGAGTAGCTAAGTATATTTATATAGTGCCTTATGTCTTACAAAGTGCTTTACATACATATTCTCAGTTTTATCCTCATAGTAACCCATGAGGTGGTGGAAATATTATTACCCTCACTTGACAGAAGGCCTCCAAAGGGTTGGGTAGGGCCTCTGCGTACCCTTCTCTAAGGACATATAATTGCACCAGATGGGCAGCATTGGAAGAAGAAGCTTCCAAATTGATGAGGACACACATCCATTTGAGAATTGAGGAGGAAGACTGAGGCTCAGAGGTTGTTTCATTTAACCAAGTAGCAGAGCTGGGACTTGAAAGGCTCTTTGTACACACCACCACCCTGTCTCTCTAATCAAAGTTCATGTTGCAGGATTAGAAGTGAAAGGGACCTCACCACCCCTATATTTTTACTTAGAAGGAAACATAAGGCCCATATATGTCATTATGTCTCTGTCCTTTTGAATAGGCTTCCCTAATGGTGGGAACATACTCCTTGACCACCTTGTGGAATCACCATTCTCCTCAATCAGTCGGCTATATACTCTTCTAGAGCTTACTTTCTGATTGGGGACAGTACAAATATAAAGAGAATAATACAAAGTAAGTAAAAAGTTGTTTGAGATATCAGGTACTAACAATTCAGGGGATAGGTAGAAAATGGTCCTTGAGCTACTTTTTTTTTTTTTGAGGCAATCTCAAGGTTAAGTGACTTGCCCAGGGTCACACAGCTAGGAAGTGCCAAGTTTCTGAGGCCGCATTTGAACTCAGGTCTTCCTGACTCCAAGGCTGGAGCTGTATCCACTGCAGCACCTAGATGCTCACCTGGCTTTTTTCCTTTTTTTTTTTTTTTTTTTTTTTACTTGAGCTACTTCTTGAAGGAAGAGAGGGATTCCTCCTGGTCGAGGGGGAGGAGGGCAGTACATTCCAAATATAAGGGAAAAGAGGGCAGAGCTCTGGGAAATGAGGAGGAGGCCAGTTTGGCTGGATCACCACCTGTGGGAGAGGGAGTAGCATACAACAAGGAGGGAAAGACAGGTTGGGCAAGGTTTTGAAGGACTTCAAAAGGTAAACAGAGGTATTTATGTTTGATTCTAGAGAAAAGAGATTTTATTGGGTGGACAGTGACATGATCAGATTTGCACTTTAAAGAAAATCACTTAGGCAGCCATAAGGATGGACTGAAGCAGAAAGTGAATTGGAGCTATTGTAATGTTGAGAGTCTGAACCACAGAGGGGCAGGGGCAGATATCCAAGTTGTGGAGATAGAGACAGCAAGGCCTAACAAATGACTGGATAGGAGACTTGGAGAAAGAGCCTGGGATAATGTCTAAGTGGAGAGCCTAAAAAATGACCATACTTTTGACAGAAATAAGGAAGTTTGGGACAGATATTATAAGCTATGTTTGGGGTATCTCTATAACCCGCAATTTGGAACGTTTAATAGTCGATTGATGATACAGTTCAGGGAAAAGACTAGGGTTTGACACATACATCCAGGAGGCACTGGCATAGGCATAGAGATGATAATTAAGGCCTTGTATCTGAGGCCTCTCTTGATTTCTCTTCCCCTCTTAGCTTTTTAGTGCCTTCGTCTTCCACACTACTTTGTATAGATTTTGTATTTATGTGGGTACATGTTGCGTTTTCCAATACAATTTAAGCATGCTGAGGGCAAGGATTGTTTGGTTTTTGACTTTGTGTGCCCAGCGCTTCACATATGTTAGGTGCTTAAAAATGTTTGATGAATTAATGAGTGAGCGAGTCAGGTGACTTGCCAAGAGTTGAACCTAGGTCCTCTAACGCCAAATCCAGAGTTCGTGACATCATACTGAGCTCAAAGTTTGTTTTAAAGTGTTTGGTTTTTACACAGAACTTTAGAAATGACTCTAGTGGTTAGTTTCTGATGATTATCTTTGGACAACGACTGGTTGTGCGGTCATAGTACTTCCTGAATGCTTGTATTCTCGTAAAGTCTGTTCTGAAATGTTGTCTTCTTCTGTGGCTTGGATTACTCTTACCCCCTTAAACTTAATACTTTTTCTTGACCCATGTTTATTTTAGGAAGGCACCATTTTGTGGCTAAGAGTCTAACTTCCAGGAATGGGGGACAGCTTTTGCAGATGTATGGGGGTGGGAGAGGGACTGTTATTTATGGGAAAAGCAGTCAGTCCTGTCTTGGGATAGTTTTCTATATAACATTTATGTGGCTTATTCCTCAAATCTGATGTGTTTTTCAGATAAGCATAACCAAGAAATGTAGTCAACTGCTTATCATGACGTGGCAAGAGGAAAGTGGTTTTTTGGGGGGGTTTTTTTGGGTTTTTTTGTGGGGGTCCTACATAAAGAGATAGGAAAGTGGAAGCTGCACATGACTGAAATATTAGGAATCTTTTGTAGTAGCTTCTAGTGCCATACAATAATTAGAAAAATAAACTTGTAGGTAAATTGCACATTTTGTTGCATTACTAACTATACATGACAGCCAGAGGAATTTTAAAATTTTTAACACATAACTAGCACCGATAGCATTTTGCTTCACACATAATGTTTACAAAATGCTTTGCCAGTTGATCCGCATATATGTAGCACTTTAAATAAATGCAATGGAAGAAAATTCTAAAATAATCCAAATAAACCTTTCTCATTCTTAAAAATTTTTTAAAACACCATTTCATTTCATGGGAGTCATTTAATAAATGTTGAAGTTAGAGAAGAATCTTTATGAAAAAATTTTTTCTTGCACATGCTTTGGGAACAATGGAAAACAAGTAATTAAGAAAGTTGGGAATGTAATTTTAACCAGAAAAGCTTTATTTGAAATGTTTTAGTTATGCTTGAGCTCAAGCCTCATTTGGCATTCTTTTACCCTCCTGTTTCCTGCTTAGTGATTATCACTGTTCATTGAAGGCTGCTGAGAACTTAAGGCACTTAAATTTTTGTTTGGAGAACTATTGTAGAAGTATAAAATGAAATAAGGAAACAATTAAGTATTAGGTCCATTTGGGAAAATTATTGCATGTAATTTACTTGGGAATAAAGAATAATGATAATTATGATAGCTTTTGTATAGTGCTTTAAGATTTGCAAACTATTTTCCAAGTTTTATTTCATTTGATCCTTACAACAACTCTGGGAAGTAGATGCACTTATTATCCCTATTTTATAGATAAGGAAACTGAGCAGAAAGAGGTTAAATGACTTGTCTAAGGTCACAGAGCTAGTAAGTGTCTGAGGCAGTATTTGAACTCCAGGTCCAGTGCTCTATCCATTGTGTCATTTGCCTGCATCATAGACCAGTAGGTGTAAAGAAGTATTTTGCCTTTTCAAAAATTCAAGCATCAGATTTTTTTTCTTTTCTTGCCTAGGCAGTGGGGTTAAGTGACTTGCCCAGGGTCACACAGCTAGTAAGTGTTATGTGCCTGAGGTCGGATTTGAACTCAGGTCCTCCTGAATCCAGGGCCAGTGCTCTATCCACTTCGCCACCTAGCTGCCCCATCAGATTTTTTTTTTAAACTATACTACTTTCTCTTTCAACTCTTGTATATGTTGGTGTCAGAATATCAAATACTGTAGATCGGTAAGTGTATCTGTTTGCAAATGTGTTCTGAGACAATATAATCAGTATTTAGCTGAGTTAGAGTAACCTTTGACTCTTCCCTCTCCCATATCTCATATTCATTTGATTCTGAAATTCTGTTAATTTTGCTTCTGTCCTATCATTTACATGAATCTCTTGCCTTTTGATCTACTATTACCACCCAGATAAAGACCCTCCTTATTATGTGCCTGGATGTAGCAGTAGCCTCCTAACATGTTTGTCACCTCCATTCTTTCCCTTTTTGGATTGACCCTAAATATTGCTGTCAGTACTGCCACATAGTTCGTCCTCTTGCATAGATATTATCAGATCACTCTGCTCAGAAATCTTAAGTGAAACTCATTATTACCTCCCAAGAAGAGTTCATTCTTGTTTGGCATTTAGAAGCCTTCTACAATCTGGTACCACTGTATTCAGTCTTATCTATTTAACCCAGCTCTCCTCCGCTGTACTCTGTATTCTGGTTGACTCAGTACCCCTAACCCTTCAAACACACCTTTCTCTGTGTCTCTTCTCAAGCTGTTCTTTATGTTTGGAATCTCTCTCTACCCATTTTTGTCTGTTAAATTCCATTTCATCCTTTAAAAAGCACACTCAAGTGGCCTACTCCTTTAGGAAATGATCTTTTCTCTCAGGCCTTGTATCATACTTTATATTACACCTCTGTAAGTTCCTTAAATCATGTTTTATTTGGTATTGTTATCTTTATTACCTCCTTGTTGCTAAATTCAGTGGCCTTTTCTCATCAGGACTTTCTCAAGTCCTTTTTGGTCTCTGTTGCAGAGTCATAATCTACGTCGTGCCCTGACATGTGGCTCTCCTGGTCCTCCATATCCATCTTTATACTCCCTCTCACCAAGCTTCCCTGGGTTCACTTATCAGCTGTATGCAGGTATAGAGCTATGTATCCAGGCTTAGTTTTCTCCCGAGTTCTGGTCCTACATCTCCATTTGCTTGTTGGATAGCTCTTCCTAGATATCCTCTAGGTATCTCAAACTCAACATGGCAAAAACTAGTAAGTTCTGTTTCTTACTTACCTGTTTTGATTGATGGTTCTACCATTTTTCCTGTCACCTTGGTTTATAAAATAGAAGTCATTCTCAACTCTTCACTCTCATCCCCCCCCCCGTGTATTGTGTCAAATCTTCTCAATTCCACCTCCTCAACATCTCTCACATCTGTTTCCTTCTCTCTCATAGCCCAGCCATCCTTATCTCAAGATTCCTAATTGGTATTCCAGTATCCAGCCTCTTTCCTTTACAATCCATCTACTACACAGTTGCCAGGTTGACATTTCTGATTCATGAGCTTTACCATGTCCCTCCCTTGGTCTGGAAGCTTCAGTTCTTTGTTGCTAAATTAAATGCTGGCATTTAAGCTTCAGTTCTTTGTTGCTAAACTAAATGCTGGCATTTAAAGCCCTTCTTATAATGTGTCCCCAGTCAGTCTTTATGGATATATTTCTTATTATTCCTTCTCATACACTCTGTGTTTCAGCCAAACTGGCCTATTTGCTGTTCCACATATATGACAGTCCCTCTCCTGTCCCCATACCTTTGCATAAATGATGTCCCCCATTTCTGGGAAACTGCTAAACATATTGGAGACGCCAGCTCCTTTCCGGAATCATTTCTATATTCCCCTAGGTCTGGCCTGCACAACCTGCACCATGGCTGCCCAGGCCTGACCTAGGTGTTCCCCTGGCCCCCCTCCCCCCACCATCCCTTCACTGTATTTATTTTGTACATATCTTATACTTAATTTTGTCTATGAATGTGTTATGTCCCCTCAGGAGAATGTAAGCACCTTGAGGGCCTTACTTTTGTCATTTATATCCCCAACACTTAGGATATTACTCGGCACATGGTAGGCATTTAATAAATGCTTTGTTGACGGATAAAATGGTAAATCTGGAGGGCTGGCATGGAAATGATGATCTTGTTTTAAAATCTGCTGAAATGAATGGGCTGAGAAGTACAAACTCCCTTATTTCTGCAGGGCCCTCCCACACAGGATTCCCTGGGTGTGTGTGCTAAGAAACTTACCCCAGAGCTCTCAGTCTGGGATATGGCTCATTGCTGAGCACTTACTTTTTAATGACAACTGTCCAAGGTTCAAAGGGTTCTGAAAAGCCCCAAGGAGAGACTCTTTTAAACACCTGCAATTCCATTCTCTGGGATGAGTCTTCTGTTCTCTTGCCTGATGTACAGGTGGATTTCATGTTTCTGGAAATCTCCTCTCCTCTTTTAGGTCTGTGTTTCTGAGAAGAAACGTCACCCCAGCTTCACTGCTCAAGGGATGGGATCAGAGAGCAGTGCTCTGAAGAGCTATACCCTTCAAGAGCCACCCTTTAGCCTCCCTGCTGGCCTGCTTGTTTACCCAGCCGTGCTACAAGATGGCAAGCTCGCCTCGGTTTTTGTATACAAGAGAGACAAGGAAGACAAGGTTAATAAAGCTGCCAAGGTACTGTAGAGGAGGTGACTTTACTTAATAACCAGCACCTGCTAATATCTTCATTATCATTTCCTATTGAAAAAAAAAAGCGTGAACCCAAGAAAGGACAGATTTCTTTCTGAAGTAAATGAGGTTTTATTTATAGCCTCCTTTAAAAACTTGATGATTATTAGTTTTTGAGAATGTCTCCAACTGGTGGGATGTTGCCAAGTAAAATCTCCCAATAAAGCAGCTTGATGAAAATCAATGTGATTGATTTTGTCATTTACTTTTTTTGAGGTTTTAAATGAAAATTTCTCAGAGGCTAATTTTACTTTACTTAGTTACAGTAACAAGTTGCTCTGTCTTAGGGGAAATGTTGAAATATGAGTATGTTTTGCAAATTTAATTTATTGTTGAAAGTAGAAATGGAAACTATTTGCCTTGGAAACTTTGGAGCCTAAATTGCAAAGGGTGAAAGGGTCATCTATATTTTACTTTTTACCACTTATTTTAACTTATTCAGCAGTTTATCAGTATACCAGTATGTCATCTCCAGGGAACTTATCCCATCTCTGAATGAAACTCCATAGTCATTAAAATGATTCGGAATGCCTTTGTGTGTTACAGTGAAGTTTTTCTAGAGGAAAAAGCAAACATCCCTGGACGGCTTTTTTTATAAAGACCTAAGCTAAATGAATGATCTCTCCAAAAAATGTAATATTAAACATTTTTAAAGTGAGCAAGATTATTTACTTAAATATTTGATTTTCTTTAGCAAGCACATTGTTTTAGATACTTAATTGCATTTTTAAATGTTACATATAATTTGAGATCCCTTGTATAATTATGCCTATTACATAGGACTTTGATTATAGTGTTACTGCTTTTAATAGTCAAAGAAGTTTGTAGTTGTATCTTTGATTTTATCATTATATCATTTGTTATATATGATTCATTTGATGCCAAGTCTTTGGTCAGGAATGTAATCCCCTAATTAAAATGTTGTTGCTATGGGAAATCATGATCTAATTTATAACAGTCCACTTTATGATGTACTTTCAAGGATATAGTAAAATTTGGGATTCTGTAATCTATATTAAAACAAAGTAATCTTTTTAGTGAAACATACCCCTCCTCCCCAAACTAGATATTGTTAATAATTTGGTAGAAGTTGGGGAAAATGCATTGTATATTGACATCCCTCCTCAGCGCAGGATGCCAGTATTTTCTGATATAGTACTTCTTGAGTGAAAGCAGAAGACCTAGGTTCTGGTCCTGTGTAGGCCATTTATTAGTTGTCTGAGTATTATGACTTGATTCTATTTTCTTATCTGTAAAAGGAGGATAATGCCCACCCTGCCTACCTCACAGGGTTGTTGTGAGGGTCAAATGAAAGTGCATTTATACAGTATTTATTTTTGTCTCACTTTTTCTTTACAGTGACTTCAGAGTTTATGAAACTAATAGGGCTCTCTTTGGAACAGGAGTTATTTTATGTATTGTGTCTGTGTGTTTTTTAAGATCCATTCTGAAACTGCAATGTATTTTTAAAGAATCCATCTAAATTTAGGAATGTTCATTACTTTTATTTTAAATCACATGATTTGAGGGAAAAAAGGGAAATTGTGTCCTTGTGTGAAGTTCCTTTTTTAAAATACAGTAAAAGAGATGAATGTATTTTTCTGTATGAATCTGTACAAACAACTTTAGGAGAATTTGCTGTTTGTACCAAAGGTAAGAGTATTTTCCAAAATTAATGGTTTATGACTTAATGAATACCTACCTCTTGGAACAGACTACGGGCAGTAAGAAGAATTGCATGTTAAGCGTTTTTGTAACTTAGCTTTTATCTCAGTTATGAATGACCAAAATAACTGGCTTCAGTTTAGAGTCTTTAGCAAAAACAACCATGACATGCATAAAAGTGGCCCCAAATTGTCTAAATATCCAAAAAAGGATTTGAAATTCATATATTTCATGGCCCTTTCTTGGGAAGGTATAATGTTAGCACAAATTGTCAAACTTGAATATGGTTATTCCATTATCAGTAAAGATATTAAAAATGAGCTGTATGTTTGCTATTATATTATCGAGATAGAACAATCCTTTTTTATAACATTACTCATAAAACCCATTTATGAGAAAAGATGAAGAGGAATTATAAAGCTCTTACTTTTGTCATGGCATAACTGGAGCTTGTTGCTGTAGTTAGCTACTATTACTGTGTTACCGTATATGTTGCGATGAATGTAGAATTGCTGTTTCAGGGGAAGTGGAAACTTTAGGCCCTATTTTCTTGAATGATCACGGCTTTTAAATATCAGCTGAGTAGCTCTGCAAAGGCACTTGTGGAAAATCCTAGTACAGAACTCATTCTGGCTTCCTGCTACCCCCTATGGCTTGGTGTAACATGGGTGCAGCTGCCTTTTGACCAAGTTAGGTCTAGTGAAGGTCCTTATTCAAATGTTTATGACGACTTTAGACCAAAATCTTAGCAGCTGTGGCTAGAGTTAAGTTTAAATGTGCAAAAGGAGAGGTTTGTTTTCCTTGAGCAACTCTTTAGATTTTTCCATGTCAAACTATAGGAAGAGTACCAGTTCACAAGTTTCAGTCTGAACCATCTGAAAAGGAACAATATGAAATTCTGTCTAAATATCTTTGTAGTAGGTAATAGGCACTTGAGAAATGTGGGATTTGTTAACATTTGACTTCAGCAATTTCACTGCCTGCGTCTGAACCACTGAACTACTTGTAGTTGAATTACTACTTTCCCCTGGAGTTCTGGCTTTTGGTCTTGCTATCTGTGTGACTTTGGTTACTTAACAACCAGGGCTGTTGTGAGGATCAAATACAATACTGTTTGTAAAATGCTTAGCATAGATAGTGCTTGTCACATGGTAGGCACTACGTCAGTGTTATCATCACTGTAGCTGGCATCAGCATCACCCCTCTCTGGGCCTTTGTTTCCTCATGTGTAAAATGAAGGCAGTGGACTAGATAATCTCCAAGGGTCCTTCTAGCTACAAAGCATTGATCTTATAGTCCTACTCCTAATAGTTTTCATGTGAAATTTCAACACTTTTGTTTTCACATAGCATATACTATGCTGATCCCTTGCTTTTTCTAGCAAGTGTTGCTGTTAGTAGTTCTGTGTTCTGTATCAGTTAGGAGTTGGGGGACATATAGCTAGCACAGTGCAAATGTTTATAGACATCTGAAATGATATCAAATCAGTTGTACTCTCTGATAACAGAAGAATATGGGATATGCCTCATCTATTGACTCTTCCCTTTAATTTTTCTTTAACAACTCTCTGTCTATAAATAGATTACAGCCAGTAATATTTATCATCTGGCTATCATATTCTAAAACTTTTTCTAACCATCAGCTCCCCAAAATAATGGAATCAGAATTTCCATTCAGTTTCAAAGTCTTGACACAATCAAAGTGCTTGGTTACAGCTTTTCACAGGTAAGAATCACAGAATTTATTTGAGAATTAGGATGGACCTTATTAGCCATCTAGTCCAACTCATATGCAAATGGATTCCCCCAGTAACATCTTCTTGAAGATCTCCAGTTAGGGGAAACCCCTCCAGGTGGTTCACCCTGTTTGGGGGTATTTCTAATTGTTAGAAAGTTTTGCCTGACATGGAGCTTAATTTTGTCTCTTTCACCTTGTTCGGCCTTCTGGGACCAACTGAACATGCCTTCACTTCTACATAGCTTTCACATGTTTGAATAATTATCATCATTACCCCTGACTGAACATCCCTGGTCCCTTCCAGCTGACCCTTATGTGCATGGCTCTGATTTTACCAGCTGGGCTGCCTGCCTTAGGACCCTTTCCAGTTTAACAGTTTCCTTCCTCAGTTCTGGCACTTAGAACTGGCACACAATCCATATACACATTAGGACGATTACCTTCTTGTTCTTAAAAGCTATATCTCTTTACTGCTGCCTAAGATCACATTTTAGCTTTTCAGATAAAATGCTGTCTGATCATGCCTCAATCACGCCCCATCTCTGATACTTGTGAAAATCAGTTTTTAAAAAACTGAAGTGTGAAATCCTATATTTATCTCTGTTAAGTTTTATCCTATTAGATTCAGCCTAGTTCTCTGCCCTGTAAGGACCTCTTTGGATCCTTCCATTATCTCAGCTGTTCCTCTCAGCTTTGTGTCATCTGCACGTTGGAAAATCTGGAAAACCAGTTCCTGAGAACTATGTACCGTGCAGCCATAGAGGTTGTATCATAGATTTAGAATTAGAAGGGACCCTAGAGGTCAATCTAGTCTGAACCTCAAGGCACTGTGTAAGAAGCAGTCTCTGTTTTCAAAGAGTTTACAATCTGTTTTTGATGATGTAACATATAAACAGCTAAATCGATACATAATCATGTGAATGTGGAGGGAACCATAACAATTGGAGGATCTGGAAAGGTTTCTGGTAAGCAGCACATGAGCTGAGTTTTGCAAGAAGCTAGGGATTTTTTGAGGATTAGCATGCATTTTGGATATGTGGGAGACAGCCCAGGCAAAGGCATATAGTAGGAGATGGAGTGCCAAATTTGGCTGGAATGTTGAATACATGAAGTAATGAGAAACAATGGAAAAACAGACTGGACCCCAATTGTCAGGGGCTTTTGAGTACCAAGCTAGAGAGTTTGGCTGCTGATGGCCGTGTGAATAAAATACATCAAAGATCCTTGAGCAGCATAATAGTGACAGACTTGTGCCTTCTGAAGTTACTTTGGTACTTGTGTGGAGGATGGATTGTACAGGTTAGAACCTGGAAATTGGGAGGCTAATTGAAGGCTATTGCAATAATTTAGGTGAGAGGGAATGGGGACTTGAACTGTCATGGTCATTGTGAAAATGTAGAGATTTGTAACGAATGCAGAAAAAGTTGAGATGAAACTGACCAGACATGACCGCTGATCAGTCATCTATAGAGGGTGAGGCAGAGGCAATGATGACACAGTTAGGTCACTAGAAAGCTGGTGATATCCTCAACAGAAATTAGAGG